GCAGGTATCGGACCCTGTCGCGCCCGGCGGTTTCAACTGAGTTCCCCGGCACAGGCTACTAACTGAATTCGAGTTTGTAGGGGCGGGCTTTGCAGTTGCTGACGGCGGCAGGCATGTGATACTGCGCCGGAAACAGAGAAACTCTACCGCAGGGCGAGTCTTCGGCGACACAGTCCTATGCGAGACGATGCTGGCCATCCCGCCCTTCGACAATTGCAATGAACGCTCTTCCCGTTGCAGGAGCTGCTTATACGACCACGCATCAACCCTGCACATGATTCATTTACAGGCAAGGCATTTAGCCATAGCTCCCAAAGCAGTTGTAACTGAAGTCGACCTGGCGTTATGGCATGACTTTGGTCTATACTGACCTTAGTGACCGGACAAAATCTGTATATTACGCTTAAACTGTTATGTAGAAGGCATGTCGCCATCATTATCGACATGATGGCAGCGCTTCGCAAATTGTAAAGTGCATTTTTGAGGAACATTATGCGTATAGATAAAACAACATTAATCACTTTATTTCTCAAAGAAGAAAGAGGAAAATGGAAAGATAAATGTGATATTTCGGCTACATGCGTTTATCGAAAAGAATGACAAATTCAAATTTCTCTGCCGATTTTTCTCGACGTTTCAGTTCTTTCCTAAAAAAAAACAGCTAGCCACAGTTTTTACAGACCACCAACATGCAGGGGATTAAACAAGAAGCAATTGCCAGTCATTTCTGCGATACAGTGGACATCTAACTGATAATTCATATGCGCGAAAAATACCTGTATATGCAAGTGAATTCAAGTTAACAGGCGTCACGCATAACACATCATTTACTTCTGCAAGCGATTTCAAGTTAACAGGCACGTCGCAGCACGCATCACTTTTACACGCAAATGATTTCAGTTAAACAGACGTCGTGTATCAAGCGTCAGACAACACTGATACACGAAGGCGATTTTAAGCCAGCATGCATACCACATCAAGACACTAGTCACATTCAAATAATCGTTCATGACGAGTCCTGTACACTGAAGTCTGGTCGCCAACTTCTTATAAAAATAGATTCACCATTTTTCCTGTCTGGATGGTCCCGTACTTTGAAGATACCTTTGAGCTCTAAAGGGAAGTGGTCCGTACTTCCTCGGATTTTAAACTTAGCGTGTTCTGTCAAAAAGATGGTCGCCGAAGAGTTCTTTTTATTATCTGTTTTGTTTTGAGCACCTCGCAGGTGTTTATCACAAATGAAACGAGTAGGACGCATGGACTTCTCAACATAGCCCATGTACTTCCCATGTTTTTCGCGCAGTTTACGCTTGAATTCATAAACCATGTTTCTTCACGTGCAAACCCCTTAAAACCCAGGCATGCATATATGACACCCATCGCACCCCGGGCACTTATGCTTCGAGACAATATATTTAACTAGATAGTTATTTAGCTCCTTATCGAGTGTGCCCGAGGAGGTAACAGATGGGGGGGGGGGGGGCGACATGAGCGCGTGGCCAGTTCCCGAGCAGGTTATTACATCGGGCCCCCGTCAAGAGCCCAGGGACCTCCATTCAAATAGAAAGTCCTCAAGACCCAATAAAGAGGGGCCCCGAAAGATAAAGTGTGTCCGAGCGTCTTAACAGATAGGGCTTCTAACAAGAGCGTAGGGCCCTCCATTCAAATAGGAACCACTCAATACCCAATGTAGATGGCCCCCCGAACGATCAAATGCACCTCAGCAGCTTATCAGAAGAGGCCCGAAAAGAGCGTTAGGCCCTCCACTCAAATAAGAAGTATCCAAACCCTGTGCAGAGGGCCCCCGAAATACGGAGTGTACCCTAGCAGATTACCAGACGGCCCCGGACAGGAGTGCAGCGCCCTAAATTCAAACGTGGTGAACAGATTGGGCCGCCGACAAGAGTGTAGGGCCATCCATTCAAATGTGAAATACCCACGGCATGATGTAGAGGGCTCCGAATGATCGAGGGTGCCCGAGAATGCCAACAGATAGGTCCCCGTGAAGACCTCCACTCAAAAAGCAAGTACCCAAGACCCGACGTAGAGGTCACCCAACAACGGATGCACCGGAGCAGCCCATCAGAAGGGGCCGCAACAACAACATAGAGCGTAGGTCCCTCCATTGAAGTAACAAGTGCCCAAAACCCAGTGCGGAGGGCCCCCGAAAGATGGAGTGTACCCGAGCAGGTTATCAGATGGCCCCGATATGAGCGCAGGGCCCTAAATTCAAACGCCAATACTCAATGTGCAGGGCTCCCAGACAATCCACTTTGGCCAAAGAAGTTAACAGAGGGGACCCCAGACAAGTGCGCAGGGCCTCCATTCAAATAGGGCTTCCGCAAGGCCCAATGTGGAGGGCCCCGAAAGATCGATTGTACCCGAGCAGGCTTTCAGATGGCATTGACAAGAGCGTAGGTCCCCACATTAAAATACTCAATGTGCCGGGCCCCTAAACAATTCAGTGTGCTGGAGCAGGTTAACAGATGGGGCCCCGACAAGTGTGCAGGGCCCTCCATTCAAATGGAAAGTACCCTGGACCCAGTTTCGAGGGGCCCGACCGACAGAGTGTGCATGAGCAGGTTAACATATGAGCCCCCGACAAGAGCATAGGGACCTAAGCAAGTGACATAAAATTGGAAGCGCCCTAGACCAATGCAGAGGGCCCATGAGCATATCGCAAGTGTGTCGGTAGGTGAACCGAAACCAACGTAAAGGGCCCCCGAGCCACCAAGACTACCCGAGTAAGTTAACATGGGGATCCCCTGCTATAGCCCACAGAGCCATTCTGGCGACTGGAAAAAATCCGTGGAAGGCCTCTGATTGACAAGAGCGCCCGGGCACGCTGGCAGAAAGAGCACAAAAACCGTGCAGGCCCCTCCGAGCAAACGCAAAGCAGTCAGGGCTAACGTGGAAGGCTCCTCAACGATCGAAATGACCTTGCAAGTGGGCATATAGGTCCCCGGAAACGGGATAGGACTCTGGACAGCGTGATAAAGCTTATAATTCCAATAAACAACTCTTTCCATTATTGAAGATTTTTATCTTTTCTCGTAGGCCACTCCCTCTCGTTTGCAACTCTTCTCGGTGGCCTGGAAATCCAAAGAATTTTTATTGTTTGGTGTTACAAAAAACTGTACCTGTCTGGTCACCTACGGGCCCCTTCGGAGCCTATGGGCCACTTCGGGGTACCACGATGGGTCATGGGCCCCGTGACCACTCTCTCTGGATCCGCCCCTGACTCAGTCAGTGGTGGAGGTTGGTGCGGGGGAGGGGAGGCTACAGCGGCCACGTGCCAACAATTAGAGGACCAGGCGGAGATAACAGTGCCGCTGACTTGTATTGGTGCAAGTATGTGGCATGCACTATCATATAAATACCGGTAGAATTGCGTTCTCTATTTCAGTTACACCTTGAGACACATACAGGTAAAACGAAGAACACCAAGCCACCCGAAACAAGGTGGTTGAAGTCCGGTTTTCGAGGTAGGCTCTTCTACGCGACGTGGTTCACATCACATCCGGACAACTCGTAGATACCGGCTAGCCTTCGGCCCCGGCTAAATACAAAGAGCGTATGCCCAGAGCCGACGATATTGGCGGAAAGGCCGAATGCCCGCGTGAGTTCTCATCATGACCAGCACCTGACCGTATAATGAAATTGATAATGGCTGAGCTTTGCGCAGCATGAACATCTCATAACTTTACTTAAATGCCTATGAACTGCTCCAGAAAATCCGACGCAAGCGTGCAAAGTGGGCCCAAACAAAAGTCTGCCGCCGTCCCGGGAACCGAACTCGCCACCCAGCCCTTACGGACCTAGCAACATCCCGCGGCACTACGCATCCTCATCCTATTGAAACTGTAAAACATAGTGGACCTCAGTACACCACATCAATGCTTTACAACAGTCCACTTAGGGAAGTCAAAGAATCACGTCATAGATTTAGGCGTTATGTAAAAATGGCATCGTCTAACAATCCCGATCCACTTACTAGTCTTAGTTCATAAGCCTGCTGGTTGCCGAACAACATTCAAAACAAGCACATGACCTAGAATAGGTAGCTTTGAAAGTTTTTAAAGCTTGTTAACTTTTCTTAAAATTACGATACCGGTCCATGCTATCCAAAATATCCAACAAATAGTTAAGGAGTTAGAAGACCACTCAGTGCACCTTTCAGTAAATAAAATGTGTCCGTTGGATTTTTTCCACTTTTGAACACCATTAACATTAATGGCGTTGCTGGTGAGAATCGCACTTCCTTTTGATACCGCATCATCCTAGTCTGCATGATTCAAACTCTAATGGCTCGCAAAACAAGGATGACATAAATCATGAACATGAATTATTGAACAGAGGAAACGATTTTGTCTGTCAGGTAAGCAGAGCATTCATTTTTATTTGAATCGCATATGGCTATGGCATCTTTTGACACGCTGATATCTAGGTTGTCTAAGCTAGAAACATATTATATCACCATCTGACCATCCTGAAAAAGTCGACATTGTGAAGCGCACCACATAACTTCAAGATTGCTATTTCAGTTGAAAACCCATACCAATCTGGAACAAGCCTTGTAAGCATAAGTTGCAACGCAAAGACCGTTATCAAAGTATAAGTGAAGCTCTTGCTCGCGTGCCCTTGTAGCTGATGACGAAATTAATAGGATCGCGTGCCCAGAAATAACAACCGTAAATAACTCCGAAATGTCCTACATTAACACCGAGCTCCTCCCATGAGAACAAATCTAATATCGCGAGCGCATGTTCCATCCAGCTTGCAACTGAGCCGCCAACATACACAGATCAGGTCGTGGGATTTGTACGTCCCAGCGGCTCATGGCGGACCTCAGTCCAGAGCTCGTGTGTTTATTGCTGTAGTTGAAGTTTATGTGCCGACGGAGCCAGCTTCGGCCAGCCCTTGTCAGTGCCACGGCCGCGCTGGGAGTGAGCACTCCCGTCCCTCTCCCGCTCGGCACTGTCGTCCCCCACACAGCGACGATGGCCGTCCTGCTACGGAGCGCGCCGGCGGTGCTGCTGAGTCTGACGCTGCTGCTGACCGCAGCGGCCGGCTACCCCGACGTGCAGTCCCGCCCGCTGGTCGCCACGCGAGAGGGCATCGTCAGGGGCGTGGCGCGGCGCAGTGCCGCCGGCGGCCTCTTCTTCGGCTTCAAGGGGATCCCGTACGCGCGCGCGCCGCTCGGGCCACTCCGCTTTCAGCCGCCGCAACGCCACCCGGGCTGGGCGGACGTGCTGGACGGCCTCAAGCACGGCAGCACATGTCTGCAGTACAACGCCTTTAAGAACAACAGTCTGGAGGGCGACGAGGACTGCTTGTTCGCCAACGTGTACACGCCGCAGCTGCCGGCGCTGGAGAGAGCCGTTGGCGGTTTGCCAGTCATGGTCTTCATCCACGGCGGTGGCTTCACGATGGGCAGCGGAGACGAGGAGATATACGGACCGAACTATTTCATGGACGAGGCTGTGGTGCTGGTGACCTTCAACTACCGACTGGGACTGTTCGGATTCTTCACGGCACACGATAAGAGCGCTCCCGGCAACTACGGTCTGCTGGACCAGGTGATGCTGCTGCAGTGGGTCCGGGATAATATCGCCAGATTCGGCGGAGACCCTGCTGTGGTGACCGTTTTCGGCACGTCAGCGGGAGGGGCCAGTGTCTCGCTTTTGGTGCTGAGCCCCCTGGCGAAAGGCCTGTTCCACCACGCCATCAGCCAGTCAGGTACGGCATTGGCAAACTTTGCAGCAGGTGGCAAGGCGAAGGATTTCACTCAGAAGTTTGCAGAGCTGCTCAACTGCTCTGCCGACGATGTTTCCATCATGGTTGAATGCGTAAGGAACGCCCCCTCCGAGGATCTCATGGAGGCCAAAAAGAAAGTAAGCCTGCAGGAGGCGCTTTTTCATCCACGGGTGGACAACGAATCGGAATCGCCGCTGCTGCCGAAGGATCCGCGTTATATCATCAAGAATGGGGAATTCAACCTGGTTCCATGGATGAACGGCATTGCGGAAGAGGAAGGAGCACTGTATGCTCCGTTTTTTCTCCAAAACAAATCAGTGGCGGAAGGTGTGTTTTCAGGAAATCCCATTACATGGGGCATCCTAACTGGCTTGATCAGCGAGTCCGGAGCCATTCCCCTGGACTGTGGATCGGACTCAAACGTGGAGATCGCCAAAGTGATTGACTTCTATGTCGGCAATGACACACTCAGCCATACCAACCATCTGCCGTTCGGTCGAGCTATAGGAGACCGAATGTTTGTTGCTCCCATGTCGGAGGAGGTGCGTCTCGCGTCACTCCACGCGCCGGTCTACAATACGTGCTGGATTACAGAGGACCTGGTCGCCTCTCCGCCGCCGAGCTGTTTGGAATTGATGCACCGTACATGGGTCCCTCGCACATCGATGACTTGGTGTATCTGTTCAGCAACGCAAAGCAGGCAGCGTACCCGGCCGACTCGCCGACCTACACCATGATCCGCTTCATGGTGAGCCTGTGGACGAGCTTCGCTCGCACCGGTCGGCCCAGCTCAACCGTCCTGCCGACGCCCGACTGGCCCGTCTTCACCGAGCACAGCCAGCGCCATATGCGGCTCAATGCGGAGCCCTCAGTCGAGGAGCGGCTGTTCGAGGAGCGCGTGCGCCTCTGGCAGGGCGTCCGCATGAACGAGGCCTGGCGGCACGAAGTGCAGACCAGCTGTCCGCTGGCCGGGGCTGAGTACGAAGCGCGCAGGCGGCGCTCGGCCCCCTGAGCCTCTGATCGTTCAGTGGCTGGTGCACGACGCTGAGAACGGAGCCGGGCTGGCGGCAGGTGTTTCAGAGCCGCTTCCAGTCGCGAGCGCTGACGTGACGGAGACCAGGAGCTCGACACGCGCTGGTTTTGCCGCGATCTTTTAAGTGGGAGACGTTAAGTGATTGCTTAGAAAGTACGTCTGCCACATATATGTGGAGCACACGTCGAACTGTCGATTGTGGCACCATTGGAACAATGACTCGGAATAAAAACTATGAATGGGTACGTTAGCATCTTACCCCGATTAGTTATTCATAATGTAGATCGATCGCTGGCCCTGCCACAGCACGCTGAGGTGTGCCGTCACCGGGATGTGCGACGTCCGTGACACCATGGGATGGCTGCTGACACAGCACGCTGAGGTGTGCCGTCACCGGGATGTGCGACGTCCGTGACACCACGGGATGGCTGCTGCCACAGCACGCTGAGTGGTGCCGTCACCGGGATGTGGGACGTCCGTGACACCATGGGATGGCTGCTGCCACAGCACGCTGAGGGGTGCCGTCACCGGGATGTGCGACGTCCGTGACACCATGGGATGGCTGCTGACACAGCACGCTGAGGGGTGCCGTCACCGGATGTGGGACTTCCGTGGCATCAGGGGATGACTGCATGTTTTCTTCCACGTGACCATGTCAGAGTTTCCAAAAGGTTCGTGGATTTATCTAGCGTGGCTTTGGAGATCCGATGAAGCAGGCTTTCTGGTGGTTTCTTGTTTTTGTCAAATGTATTCTTAATCGATCAAAAATTTTGGTAAGAAGATTGATCCTGCCGTTCCTGACAATATTAATCTCAGAAGTACCCCGCCCGACTGGGGGCACGGGCTGAAAGATGAGAGACAGACCTGATAACAAAGGGTTTGATGGCGTGGCTGTACTAGTGAGAGAGTCACTGGAGGCGACTGTGGTGAACGGACCTGATCAGGTCACAGCAGACCCCAAACTGGAGTCATTGTGGGTCCAGATCCGCGCTGTGTCTCAAAAAGTTATGGTGTGCTCACTGTACCGGCCCCCGAGACAGACACAGGCCCGAGTCACTGCGGACCTCGGTGAGCTGGAGCAGCAACTCCAGAACATCCTCACCTGTCACAGTGGACCCCGTCATCACATCTGGTGACATCAACATCAACACCTGCAGCAGCAACGAGAGCACCGTGGCCAGCAGGTTCAGGGAGTTCCTCACAGCATACTCTCTGCAACAGCATATCAGCGGGCCCACGTTCCGGTCATCTAACTCCACCATCGATTGTATTTATACAAACTGTGGTGTTGAGCGCGCCGGCACGCTGCACTGTGACTATAGTCCCCATGACTGATCACGTGTTCTAGTGCCGCTACCGGACCACCGACCTGCGCAGTGCGCACTGACGGCCAGATGCTGGCACAAACTGGACTTGACGGAGGCGAATCGACGTCTCCAAAATGTGGACTGGGGCCCAGTGAACGGCAGTGTCCATCCCGGAGAGCAGTGGGACTAGTTCCCTACAGTGACTCGTCCTATCGTTGATGCTTTAGCACCGATGAGACGTTTAAAAGTGCGCAATCCTACAGCACCACCAGGCACGGAAGCTACTAAAGACCTGATGGCCCGGCGGCGTGCCGCACTCCGTGATTATGACCGCGAGACGTATAAGGACCAAACCGGCAAGTCAGGTCGGCAGTGCGTTTGTGACACATGGGAGGAGATTGACACGCGTGTACGAGAGGGTGGACCGAGCCCGATGTGGCGCAGTGTGCACCTTGTCGTCTCATCTAAGCAGTCGACCAGGTCCACACCTAATGCGGACGCGGATGACATCAACCGGTACTTCGCCAGCATTGGTACCGCGACCGCCCGCCAGGTGGACTCCTCGGGGCCGGAGCTGGCGGTACGCCTGCGACGTGTGGCCACCGGCCGGTTCCAGGTATCACCCGTTACACCGGAGCAACTGCGACGCGTCATAGCCCGCATGCACAACAGTATATCGTGCGGTGCAGACAAATTGTGTATCCGGTCTTTCAAACTGTGCATAGACGCTATTTGTCCCGTGATCGCCCATATTGTCAACTCCAGCCTGACAGCCCATGTAGTTCCCGATTCGTGGGAGCTGACAATAGTGCATCTTATCCAAAAGACGCCAAAATCTACTGGTGTTTCTAATTACAGGCTATGTCAATTTTACCGACTATCGCTAAGGTTACCGAACGTGTAGTTTACGAGCAGCTGTTTGCATATTTTACCTCTCATCACCCGTTCTCCTCTAGTCAACAGGTATTAGATCATCTCACTCTCACTGACACGGAGCTTCTCACGGTTACCGACAAAGTTTTTGAGACCGTGGATCAAAGGGAAATCACCTTGTTATGCCTACTGGACTCATCCAAATGCTTTGATGCTATCCCACATGATGGACTCCGTGGGAACTCCAAGCTGTACAATGTTGATGTACGTTGGTTCGTGAACTACATCCAAACCACGTTCACCAGGTTCTCGTCCAGAACCTTGGCGCTTCCTCTCTGTCCGTGGCTTTGCCACAACCCGATCGGAACCTACCAGGGCTCAGCGCTCGGCCTGCTGCTGTACAGCATTTGTGCTAATCATATGCCGCTGTATGCTCATGACTGCATGTATTGTGCAGTACGCAGACGACATGCAGGTTTTAGTGAGTGGAGGCCCTGGTGACATTGGTACGGCTGATCACATCCACGGAGGAACATCTTTCACACCTGTCCAATGGTTGTGGCAAAAACGGAATAAAATTAATGCACAAAAACACAGCTCATAGTCCTCGGCACGCGTCAAAATCTTCGGAACCTGCCACCGGCTAGCAGCAAATTTATGGGCGCCACTGTAGCCAGCTCTACTTCCGTTCGAAACCTGGGTGTTGTATTTGACTAGTGCATGACGTTCACTGCGCACAATGATGACGTCGTGCAGCGATGCACCGGCGCTCTTATCGGCCTCAGCCACAGCCGGCACAGTCTGCCTCAGGCCACACTCATTACTCTCGTCCAGGGTCTAGTCATCTCACCCACCCGTTACTGCATCTGTGTGTACGAAACATGTAATGCTACTCAAACATCACGACTGCAGAAGCTGCTGAACTTCGCAGCACTAGTCATCTCTGGGCGTCGGAAATATGATCATGTGAGCGATGTTTTACGAGATCTCGAGTGGATGTCTGCTGACAACATGCTCTTGTATCACACACTGACTTTCGAAAACGCATCCTGCAAAGATCCCAGCCGGAGTCGCTATCTGATCACCTTATCCATAGACACCATGTTCACCCATCCCTACAGCGAGCAGGATGATGTGTTACATGTGCCGGTGATCAGATCTGAATCGGGAAGGCGGCGTTTTGTTTACTCCACCGTGACCGCCTACAATGCACTACCGCAGAAAATTCACGACCTATGAGCCTTTCACAATTCAAACGCGAGTCGCGTAGTTATATCATGCAGCAGCGGATCAATAACAGATAGCGACGCCTACTTCAAATGACTAGCGAATGTGAGAGTGTGTTTTGCGTATGTATGCCTGTGTGTGTACGTGTTTGCGCGAGCCTCCCTGACCTACAGTGTTTTATTTCCATCGCACGGGTTCTGTAATATCCACATTCTGAGTGGAGTGAGCTTATGACGTGTAATAAATAAATAAATAGACTGTACTTTTGGCTGTCAGTTGTTTTTGGTAACATGAATCAACTAAAACTTTGCCGTCACAACACAAACTGTAGCTGCCGCTTGAGCCTCCGATAGCATGCCCTGCCCATTAACCCAAATTCGACATTTCAGCCTATCCTGCTACACAACAAAATTACATTGAAAAGCTTGCTTAGGCCCGTGGATAGCACTTTTACACTGCATGCACAAAACTAATAGTTGAGACAAATATTGTCAATGCGACGGCGCTTTGAGCAGACTTTTGCGCGACGTATTGAAAACTAAAAGCTGGATAACGCTGTTAAAGACACCCTTTGCACAATTTTGAAGGCGCTCTTACGCTATGCCAGCTCTATGTCCGAAAAATGCGTCTTAAGTCCCTCAGTGTACTTCTAATGAGCATCATTTCCCTTCCATTTTTCCGGCGGGTGGATTCTGAATATCTCAGCGTGAAATTGTACGTAAATTGTGCATCTGCGCTGTAATAAAAATGCATGAGTGCTGTTTATGATTAAGCGCGTGTATTCGTGTGTGTATCTACATGTGCGCATGTTAATACATTATGTGACGTGCGTTCTACCAAGGAATAACTGAACAACCATATTTCAGGCCAGCGATATGTATCTCTGCATAATGCACGGGAGTCTCTACTTTATGGCGCGACAGAAATGCTTTGCTTAAGTGTATGGCCTTGATCTAAATGGGTTAAATTTGTCGCCATGGGAAGAGGCTGAAAGCTCAGCACAGTGTAATGCACGGTGACAAGAACAACCAGACGGGACTTGAGAACTGATGCGTGAAAGCAGAGGTGAGCATGAACCCATTAAGCGGTTAATACGTTAATTGACTTACCTTTTTGCTAACTGAATAAACTATAAAATTCTTAATATTTTCCGTTGGAGTTTAAATTCTTACGAATTTTCCATTGACTTCGGAGCGTTAAGCTTTGTGGGGTTGGTTTGGTTCTAGGCGTTTTGGCGATTAGAGGGTTCAGGGATACTTATCTATGCGCTTTGGTGGGTATGCGTCTTTTTCCTTACCCTTGTCTCATACAGTGAGGGGGTAGATGCTACCCTGTAAGGTTTTCCGAGGATTTCTCTCCAGTGTATCTTGTAATAATGCCTCAATTTTTCGTAGCTTATGGTTAGCTCGTTATACTTGTTTTCACAACCAAAACGATCTTCTGGCATGTTTGGTTTCCGAGTGCCGACAGTTTTCAGGAACACTGCTAGGCGATCCACATGTGGCGAGAGGACGGGAGGCAAACGACGAATCCACCGAACGCTCGCGGTGGGCCGACATTGTCATGGAGCTA